GAGGATTCTGGGTATTGTAAATTTTAAAGTGTCTATCTCACTGTCTCAATGTTAATTTGGCAATGGACACTTGCTAAGGTAAACCTGTGTGTGTGTGTGTGTGTGTGTGTGTGTGTGTGTGTGTGTGTGTTTAAGCGTTCATGTATGTTTGATTGGATTTGTTATGTGGGGGTTGTGTCAATACACCCGAAGAGGCAGAATGTTGTGACAAAGAGGTGATAGTTTAGATGATGAAGAGTCTGAACCCAGCATAGATAATGGGAAAGAGGAAGGCGCTGAAGGTGAAGGTGACGTCAGCGATTTTGATAGGGATGAATAAATAGAAACACTAACATCAGCATTTTTGCAATTCATTAACATGATTTTACGGTTCAGATGACATGTTATTAATTGTACTGTTCAGAGTTCAGTGCATAATGGCCACTAAATTCCACAAATACATTACAGTAACTGTTAAACAAGTACATTATTTGCATTGCACTCTTACAACAGTGTCATACTTGTGATGGTAAGTCTGAAAAAAACCTGCACAATAGATCCAGCAGATCCAGTGGTATCGTCTCTTTTTATTAAACACATTTTTCCTTGTCAAAACCTGGCGCCCACATTACCAATTCTGGTGTGTTATTCTAGTGGGTGTTAATGAGCAAGTAACAGGAATAACCTCACTTCGTTGTAACTTCACCCGCCCACATTTTTTCCATTTTCAAACTTCAGCCTCAACCGACTCCAAAGAGACATCACTTGAGGCAATTCATCACTTCACGCGGATCCCTCTGAAGTCACAAAAACTTTATTCACACATGCAATAGTACTCCCCAACACCTGTAAACAGACTCTGTTGTGTAAATCGGTGGACTTCCCTTTAAATTCTGCGTCTTATGGATGAGGACTGATTGATATGGGTCTTGTGTGTTGTACTGTAAATGGCTGCTTTGTGCTGGAAATCTATTGCCTTAGATCAGTGTTGTAAAAATGCATTCATTCTCGTGTTGACTAAAGCAACTATAGATTTTTAAAGAGAAGAGCCAGTTTAATTTGTCTCATTGTTACAAACACCCCATACCAGTGCAGACGGTGTTTGTCCAATATTGCCAGATTATTATTCTCCTTTTCTGTTTCAAAAAGCATCAGTTTAGAGACAAATAATATGTTTAAGTAACAAACAGCCTTTAACTGTGTCATAATGTGTCTTGTTAGAGGGGGTTGAATGCTGCTGGAAATGAAACAGGAGAATGGGTGCTGTCATTTTATTTTTGCTGCCAGAAAGTCCATTGTGAGATTTATAAGTGATAATCAAAGCAATGTGTTTTGAGTCCTGAAATGTTGTCATATGTATCTCTATTTAGCAAACCTGGAATAAAGAACTGTTTTTTTAAAATTAAAGTAGCATGAAGTGTATTTTGACGGATTTAAGACGTTCAGTATGTGGGAACAGATCCACTCCTGAGGTGAATATTAGGTGGGTGAGTGTGAAAAACAAACCATCAGCCACTCCTGTATGTGTCATACATGACAATCAGTTACATCTCACTTTCCTGGCCTTAAAACAGCTGAGTAAAGCTCACCATTTATTCAATCTTTTATCACTCTGACAATGCAAATAATCGCTATCTCAATAAGTCAGTTTGTCTGTAAGTGGAAGATTTCTTTTCTGCTGCTTTTATGTCAGCCCTCTTTAAAAAAAAAAGATAAACAAACTCAAGTCTATGGTTAACATAGAACAGTTAATGAAGTAGGGTGCTGAGGAACTCAAACCATGGACATGTGGAAACCTGTTTAGGACTACACAGCCATCTCAACAAAGACTCTTGGCTCAGTTTACATCGCACATTGTACTTGTAATGAATGCATGCCCTGTTAAACTCGTTATTTCTTCTTTCTAGGCCAAGTGCGGCTAACAGATACATGTCCAAGGAATTTGACATAAGATCAGTTTAAGATTTTGTTGTTTCAGTTGTTTGTTTTTTTACAGTTGCCTGCTGCAGCTGAAAACACATACGCTACTGTGTGAGAGTGAACCACAACAGTAAAGTCGACCACAGACAGCTAGACATCTTTCCTGCCCCATTAATCATCTCACAGCCCTGTAGCCCTATATGTGACCTCTGTACTCTGTGACTTTGTCACAAGGGTTTCTTAGTGCAAACCTTATGGGGGAAATACAATTGTAATTTTTTTTGTTATCCGGCAACTGCTTATATCTTCCATGGTAGTTTGTGATTGCAATGTTGTTTACTATCAGCCTGGGATTTACATTTAAATACAGTATTTCTACAAACATTGCCCAGCTTTTCAGAAACAGACATGGTCCCGCTTGTCTCTGCTGTACAAGATGTATGATACATCCAAGCCTATTGGAAGCGCCACCATCTGTGGTCAGCGGCTGCCCTACACTGTTCTTCAGCGATATCTAAATAGATTGTAATAAGTGGAGTGTAAGGAGTACAGAGGTTGCATATGGGGCTAACAACCCCCTGGATGTATCTTGTAACCCTTTGCATTGGGCCCAACCCCTAGTTTTGAAACCACTGAACTAAAGAAACTACCTTACTGTATATAAAGTACAGTAGTTTCTGTAAAATGCTATTTTGGTATTGATGCATCTGTATATAAATTTATCAATGGCATGTATACAATATATAAGTCACATAAACCATTTTCCCTGGAAAGAGTAAGTTTACATTTTGCTCATAATTAATACATAAATAATGTCTGCTCTTCTAGGGTTTTTAATGCAGGATTTTTACCTTTTGATTTTATCAGTGTTGTACTGGTAGCTTTACTTCTTCCGCCTCTGAATTTCTGTTTTCATTGTGTGAATACTTTTATTGCTCTCAGTCACTAATGTACGCTAAGAGCTGAGACGTGTGTCCTTGTCTCTTTCCTTTGGAGCAGCACACATTTTGCTGCAGCAAGAGCAATGGACACCTATGTGGCTTTAAAAGCTGAGGGTGCACCTAAATGGCATCTATGAATAATAATGTGAGACACATAAAAATGAATATCTGTACAGTACATACCATGTTATGTTTGTGTGAGTATGTGCAGTTAGAGTTGTCCTGCACGGGTCTGCAGCAGCACCCTGTCTTTCTGCAGCAAAATGCTGTTGTTTTTTTTCTTATTGCAGTTCTGGAAGAGTTCCCATCGCTGCTGCATTGATACTCCAGTGGAGGGGCCTGGAGAGGAGAGCGTTAAGCCCACAGCCCGGCCACATTATCTCTCATTTAGAGCTCCACACCCGTCAAACCACCCTCCACTTCGCCTTCTGTCATCTCACACCACACTACACCTACCTGTATCATTATAGAGCCCTAAACCATGTTAGAGTTCCAGATCAGTGGTCATTGCTGGTGTTTGTTTGTAATCCTCTGGTAATTTTTTTTAAAGCCCTGTAGATATTAATTGGAAACAATGTCAAACACAAACACAGGGTAGATGAACTTTGTTCAGTCAACATCCTGTGACACACATTAGATTTTAATTTGTTTGCTGTGTTTGCATAGCTTCGGTTAGTCACTTGTGTCAGGACCATCCCTTTCCCTCACTGTTCAGCTCTAAATCTTGCCTATACTATATATTGAATGCAAGACTGCAACAGCTGACATCTGTATTAGATATATTTAACATAATTACACAAAGACACATAATAGGTATCGTAAACCTTTCACAAACTAATAAAAAAGTTGCCATCCTATAGAGTCTGCATATGCACACAATAACCTGCTCCATGAATAATAGATCACAGTGTTAAGTACTTGCAAAGTAAGTACAGTACACGCTTATTATCTGTTCTCGTAACTGAAGTTTAATCTGTCGATTCTGAGTTGCAAACTTTACCTTTTCTTCTCCTGTAAAAGAAAATTCTGTAAGCATAAAAAAACAACCAGGAGGCTACATCCATGGATCTGTAGTTGTCCCTTGTCCTCTGCCTGTGTAACTGTACCTTTGTTCAGATGTCTTGCTCTGTCACATGATCTCAGTTGCATCATTGCTAGTTCTAACAATGAAACTGTAACCTCTTACCAAGCACTTTTTTCCAATGAATAATAATGATGGATGATGTTTGAAAGACATACAGTTGTAAGTGTATGAATACAATGCTAGCCTGATCTAAAATAGACCAATCAAATCTGCAAACTCTGCACTAAGCACTTCCTCTAAAATGTCCTGCAGACTCATGATGTTGGTCAGCTGTTGTTAGCTGATGTGTATGGTAAAAGAGCTGTCCTGTTGTGAAAAATGACTGCACACACCTTTATATCATAATGCACTTGCAGCTGCATCACACTGATCACATGAGAGTAATGAATGCCTCATGATATACAAGATAGCTTAACCTTCTGGGCATTAAATGTGACACAACACACATACACACATCACTGGTGGCTGTGGATATTCATTATCCTGAGCCAAGGGAATATGAGTCCCAGCAGGTTGCTGCTGTTCAGGAAAAGAGGAAAGGAGAGTCAACTCTGTCAATCTGGGGAAGGACAAGTGCAGAGCGAGAGGATGTAGAAAATAAAAGGTAAAGGGAAACACGTGTAAAGTCACATTGCAGTTAAAAAATCATTTTAAATTGTGTAGAACAGAATGACTCTTGTAAGTCTGTGATGCAGAGTTTTGATACCTTAAATGTGACGTTATCAGTGAAAGAACCTGTCTATTTATGAATGGAGCATTTTGATATGGGACTGTGTGTCTGGCCAGGCCCTGGGGCTGCATTACACCACCTCCTCCTTAACCTGCACTGCAGAACTTTTCTCTGATCTTCACAAACACTCTGACAAAAGTGCCTGAGTCTGCATACACGCCCCGAGTCAGGAGATGGGGGGGAGGGGAGGAGTGAATGGGGGTGATGGAGGAGGGAAGGAGCCTAAGAGGGGATGTGGGGGCAGGTGAGGGAGGGGTGCCAGAGAGAAAAGGGGAGGGAGAGAGGTGGCATGCAGCCAACATAGAGGACAGGGAAAAGTTGTGAGATAGCCAGAGGGACGGGCAGGGAGAAGAGTCAGCTTTAGTGTGGCTCTACTGAGGAGGAATGAGAACAGCGGCTTTTCCTCCTATTCGACCGTCTCTCTACGTTTCTGTCTTTCCATTTGTCTCCCCCTCCCCTCTCTAATTTTCTCTCACCCTGGATGCCGCTGCAATGTGGCCGTCTCTGCAGTGAAAGTGCTAGCTGGCGGATTCTCCTTGAGTGAACCCTGACTGTGCGCAGTGAGTGTTTGCTGCTCCACCGCTGTCCTGTACACACTGACTCAGCTGTGCAGTGCAGCCTGCCGGCCTCTGAGGGAACACCGGCCGCAGGAGCAGGTAGGCAAAACTTGAACTGTACTTCGTCAAATCATGTTTTCAGGTTTTTATGCATTCAGGCAAAGAGATGCAGTGTGTATATGTAGACACATGCAAATAGGAAACATGCAAACACCCACTGTATCTGTAACTTCTAACTGTACAGTCTGCGTTTTCATAGTGAATCAATTTCAAGATTTAAGATTTCAGTTGATTAACTTTTTCCTTTTCCCTCTGTTTCTCTATCCCCACCTCCTCCTCTGCCCTCTGCCTAACCTACAGTCTCTTCCACAGGAGTGCTGTTGGGGCTGACGGACAGTCTCACTACACCCAGTGCCTCGTTTGGGGTCCAGACACGCAGACAGCAGGTTCCAGATTGAATCCAGTATACTAGAGAGGCCAGGTTGTGCTAAAGGATATTTTACTAGCCATCTAGAGCCCGGGCTGGATCCTGCAGCAGTAGTGGTTTTGGAGCACACCTGGCTGCCATGGAGGTCCAGTGGGTTGGGGTTGAACCCCCAAAGCTGGGCCCTCCGTACACAGCCATCGGCCTGATATTCTCTATGCTGCTTGGTAATGTCTATCTCTCACTTTACATCACCACCCTTTATTTGCTCCATGGTCGTTATGCCACAGTTGATGTGCAGCTCTCTCTTTTGATAACTTCACATTTGGGTGATTTTTCTTACTCCTTATTGAACACCAAAAGCTTGTGCCAGTATCAGTGTGTATTTGTGTTGATATGCAGATACTATATGATGCCGAGGCTTTTCCAAATCTGACAATGACCTTCATCTACCTTTGACCTATGTAGGTGTTAGCTGCAATTGTATTTATTGCATGTGTTGGTACACTCGGTTTTGCAGAAGGCTTTTGCTTTGGTGACAGCACTACTTTGCTTGTGATGAGTAGTTTTTTCTGGATGTTGCATGTTTCATTTCATGAGCACAATGTGCTGCTGGTTCTGCCCAGAAACACAGACAGGATAAGACTATGAAGGTTTCATGAAGATTTGTTAGTTTGAAATGAAGTCTTTGGCTGATAGAGTTAAGAATGTTGTTGCAAACAGTTTGGTGGTATCTGTGATCCATATTGGTTTGGCTTGGAATTGTATGCTCGCAAAAGGAAATGTCAGCAGAATAAAGTGGCCCTAGAGATGAAAAAGCTGTGTCAGGCGATAGGCGAGGATAGACGAGGCCTTGCCATTCACAGCATATTGCGCTGGACAAGATTTTTATCTGCAGTAACAAAGCAGCAGTTGAACTTGAACCAGTGTCCAGTAAACCATCTGTTTTGTTTCTATTTGAGTCATAAACTCCAGAATTAAGATTTTGAGTACTTTTGCAGTGACTGCACAGTAAGAGAACAGTAGGTATCCATTTCTGACGTTGTTGTCTCAAGTAAATTCACAAACAGATCTGAGACTGACGGTGGTGATAGCCTCTTACCGTGTGGGGTTTGTGTTTTGGATATGGAGTTTCAGGTGTGAATAGTAGATATCCAACCAAACATTCCCAATAAAGACTTTCCTTAACCTCTTTGAAGAAATGCACAAAAAGCATCCCATTAGAATCCAATTTCAGTCATGACACTAATATATATTGTGTATGCTGGCAGAGAAGTTTCCCATACTGCATTTAGCCTGTATTAGCCATTATCTGACAATTAACTATCAGCCTGAGTAAAATACATCTGTTAACATATGTATGTCTAATACCCTTTTCATACATTGTTCCTACATTCTTTTTCATACATTGTTCCCACATTCATTACTTACAGTGTATACTGTAAGTGTAATTTTCCTACTTATGGGTGTGGAGCATCAGTGCAGCAATAGTCCAGTAAAACACATATTAAAAGGTTAATCCTCCATGAGACTATGGTCTGTGATATTATGTGTTGGACCTGTAGGCTCTAAAACTACCTTCAGACATTCCCAGTCTAGTAAAGTGGATAAAATTAATCATGCTCCATACAATAAAATGTTCTCTCCCTGATAATAAAACATTCTTGTCTTAACATTGTGATGCATTTACACACATGACACATGGGGAATGATTCAACAAGAATAACTGGTTCTTGCTCGCATATGTTGTTTTTATTTAGAATGAACAAGAAACATTTTGACAACAAAAACTGCATGGTAAACTTCATCAGCAGATGGAGGTGGTCAAGTAGCAGAGAAAAAGATGCTGAAAGAAGCAGTTGCGAAGCATCTAAGCAGCATCATTATATTGTGGATATACCATCATATTTGTTCTCCATTGTGCAAGGCACTGTGAGATGGTTAATAAGGTACCTCATTGTACATTACATTTGTTAAGCAATGAACAGACTGGTTAGTTTATGTGAACATTTACAACTATTGGAGGTCAGGCTCAAATGCACTGAAGTATTAAAGCTTGATATGGAAAAGGGTAAGATAGTGACAGTGCACTAATCTTGGAATTGAGCAATTGTGACAGTGCTGTACGTGATCGTGTGTCTCTGCATTTTGGCTTCCATCATCGGCCGTTCATGTTCAAAGCGTTGACTGGCCGTCCATAGGACAGCAAATTTTTGGTGGTTTTACAGATATATCTGTATTGGTGTAAACATCACGTAACAAGAAATTGCAGTACAGAAATGCCAAAGTAGGTATGAGTCATTCAGAAACAGTGTCACAATAACATAGTTTATCGAACAGAGAACACTGACAAGTTATTTTTGTCTGCTAAATGTTCTGCTCATTATGTATCTTGATCACAATACTTTTTTTTCAGTTTTCCATATCAACATTATCTGTTTACATAAGGCATGTGTTGATTTCAAAAAATTATTAGCGCCTGATGCATCGTTTACAGATTATCTTCTAAAGTTGACACATAAAGGCTGGAAACTGGAGCATCACTGTTCTACTTTTTTCTGAAGCTCCAAAACTTTACCTTGCAAAACAAACTTAAACTGAAAGAAATTCATTAGACAATGGGCAGTAGGCTACTTAAGGGAGAGTAATATATGAATGGTGTCAGAGACAAAACAAAGGGAGATCAAGGTTCTTGAAAGAAGAATATAGATACTCTATCATGTTTTGTTCTTGGTCTCTTGTCAGCAGCTTCAGTAACTGCAATGACAGAAACAGGGTAATCTTATGGAAAACAAAGATTTTAAGGACACACAGAGGGACACAGGGTGGAAGACAGACATAATGAAAGTGGAATATTACATACAGTATATATTGTAAAGGCTTATTTAAAAAGTACACAAAAAAATATGCATGAGGAAAGAGACAGGAGGGGTGATGCTGTTGCTCTCTCGTTGCTGTTTCTATTACTGTTTTTGCAAGCTCACTGTGCTGCATTGGATCAGCTGAGGAAAAGATTGGCGAGAGTGAGTTTGCGAGATAGCAAGAGTGAGATGAGAATGAATCAATAACATTCCCACAGACAGTATGCCCTCCTTCGGCATGTTAAACCATAGCTGCAGTTCTTAGCAACATTATTCCTATTTGCTGCAGTGGTGCTTGTCAGATGTTGACCTTGACCATGTTATAAGCAAAGTGTAACACAGTGTGCATGAAACAGAGGGCAGAATCAAAGGATTGTTAGAAACACTGTAGAAAATGTTGCAGCTGCAACCATTGATCATATTTGTGTTTGTGTCAGTGTTATGTTTTCCCTCTATAACCTCTGCATCTGTGTACAGCACCTTGTGAGCATGTAGTTTATGCCTCACACACTAGATGGAAGCAAAAAGCACGAGGTGCTTTAATGGCGTGAAAGATGGAGAAAACAGACCTACAGTACAGACTGTCCCTGACCTCCTTAAGTTATATACTGTAACTCTTTGCTACCTGTGACCTTGACACCTGCCTGATAACAAAACTGAGCAGCTGAATGAGATGGTGGGATACCTGCTAAGTATAGAATTGATGAGGGACAAGGAAAAGACGAACAACAAAAGAGATGTGCCAGTTTTCCTGACCCATCTCCTTTGACTGGTGGAAGATTTAATCACAGCAACCTCCTGATGCTGTCTGAGTATGGTCCCTGGTGTATAGTTACAGCTTCCACAAGGGTCACAGCAGATTTCATCGTCTCTTATTTACAGTAATGACACAGCAAGGACTTTGTGGTGTCATGTTACACGTATGTATGTTATGTTTTTAAATAATAAAAATGTAACGTATTCAAAATCTATGTATTTTAACTTTATATGTCTCAAAATTGTGTAAAAGATTTGAATATTCAGTTGATTTAATTAAATTATGCATAACATTTACCGTGCCTTAGTAAAAGCACAGAACTAGACATTAAGTTTTAAGTCTTGTATTCCAGTGTTTTGGTGTGTATGAGAGAGATTTACTGTCATGGTCCTTTGACTTTTACTGATTCTCATTGTTCAAATTTACACCTCCTCACCTAAGCATCTCATTCTCATCAATGACCAAACTGAAATTGTTGACAGTTTAAAATAACTCAGAGTGAAAGTGGACAGTAGACTTAGTTTGGCCTAGGCCAAAGGCCTCAGTGAAGAGGTATGTTTTAAGCTGGGTTTTAAAGGTTATTATAGAGGAGGCAGAGCAGATGGCAAGAGGAAGCTTGTTCCAGAGTGATGGTACACTGACACAGAAAGCTGTGTCACCAAATGTCCGGAGCCTGGAATTAGGGACAGCAAGCAGGTCCTTGTCAGAGGACCACAGGGAGTGTATGGATGGAGTAGATCTGTGAGGTACTGAGGTGCAAGTCCATGGAGAGATTTGTACATCAGTAGGAGGATTTTATATTTGATCCGGGACTTAACTGGCAGCCAGCGGAGCTTCTTCAGGATGGGAGTGATGTGAAGTCCAAGTTTTGTATGGGTGAGCATCCTAGCCGCAGAGTTCTGGACATACTGGAGTCTTGTCAGTAGCCTTGCTGGGCAGACCGAACAGGATACCATTACAATAGTCAAGACGGGGGGTGATGAAGGAGTGGATGAGGGTCTCAGCTACAGAGTTGGAAAGCCACTGTTGGAGTCTGGAGATGTTTTTAAGATGGTAAAGGGCAGTTTTAGCAGTGTTTTTGATGTGCTGTTGGAACGAGAGAGTGGAGTCCATGATGACGCACAGGTTGCATACTTGAGGGGATGCAGAGATTGAGCAGCCATCCATGTCCAGTGTGATGTCACCAACGTTTTTGAGAAGTGACTGTGGGGCAAACACCATGAGTTCTGTTTTGTCTTTATTGAGTTTGAGGAGGTTACTGTCCATCCAGTTCTTGATGTCCTTCAGGCAGTTAATAAGCGGCACTGGTGGAAGGGGAGTAGATGACTTAGTACTGATGTAGAGCTAGGTGTAATCAGCGTAGCAGTGGAAGAGGAGTCCATGTTTCCAGATGATCCCAAGAGGTAGCATATAGATATTGAACAGTAGCGGGCCAATCACCGATCCTTGAGGCACGCCATGTGAGACAGGCGCCAATTCAGAGAAGATGCCCTTAAGGGTGATGTATTTTTGCCTGTTGGTGAGATAGGACTGAAACCAGAAATACACAGTACCAGTGAGGCCAATGAGTTTGGAGAGGCGAGTGAGAAGAATGGAGTGGGAGACTTTACAACACAAAACTTCAATATTGAGATTACAGGATTTATTCTATCATGCCACTTGTATCTATTTGCTGATAGCATGAAAGCATGGATGAGCAGAAATGATGGATTCCATGTCGGTGAGATGAATTATGAATTGGTAATCTAGAATCTGGATACTGAATTTAAAAGTTTGACATTTGGGGATATGCTTACTTGCTTTCTTACTGAGAGTTAAAGAAGACTGATACCTGCAGGTCTGTTACACAGCTAAAGCTAGCAGCTGATTAGCATAGCTTCACATTAAGACTGGAAACAAGGGTAAACAGCTGGACTGGTCTTTGCTGGTTTTAAAGACAAGACTTGGCCAAGAAATCGTCTGCCACATAACCCCCCCCCCCCCCCCCCCCATAAAACCACAACTCATAATTTTTGTTTTTTAGGTAGAAGTGTTAATTAGTGAGTTTTAGAGATTCTGGTTGGTGGACCTGGCTAGCTCTTTCCTGTCTTTATGCTAAGCCTAGCTAACTGCTGGCGTATATATTTAATGGACAAATGTGAGAGTGGTATCGATCTTCTCATTAAACTCTCAGCAAAAAATGAATAAGCGTATTTCCCAAACTATTGCTTTAAAGCAGACTTTGTAGTCATATTTTGTTGTGTTTTCTGTTCTCCTTCCTCCTCAGGTATGTGGTCTGCTCAGGCCCTTGAGATGTCTGTAGGGAAGATTCCCTTCCTGGAGGCAGTGAATGGCAGCACAGTCACTTTGCCTTGCTCATACCTCAGCTGTATCGGCATCAAGAACCTCTACTTCAACTGGCAATTCAATGACAACGGCACCATGCAGAAGGTAGTGTTTGAAACAAACATTAATTTTTCACGTTTTGGTAAAGTGGTAGCTTTGGATAATTGACAGCTTGTTGGTCCGATCAGGTGTGTGAGTCAGTGATACCATCAGAGGATGTGGTGCCACATGTGAGTATATATCGTGAGCGGGTGGAGTTTGTCGGGAAGAACAACAACATCTCCATCGTGCTGTGGAATATCACCTTCGAGGATGGAGGCCAGTACACTTGTTTTGGACGCAACCCCAAAGAAAAGGGGAAGAACCACAGTGCCATCTTCACCCTCATTGTGGTGGACGAGTGTGAGTTTTATTTTCATAATACAAATCGGGTCTTTAGACATAATAGTATTCCTATTAGTTGTGTGTATATATATGTGTGTGTGTGTATATATATATATATGTGTGTATATATATATATGTGTGTGTGTGTGTGTGTGTGTGTGTGTGTGTGTATACACATATAAACTAATTCAACATTTTTGTCATCTTTATCTTGCACATTATTTCTAAATAAGTCATCAAAATTGGAACAACATCATAATTTCTCAAAACTGTTGGTGGAAACTTTGGACAAACAGGCAAAAATAATGGTTCTGTTGAGCTCCCCATCATTAGTTGTATATTTTATATCTATGTTTTAGTGTGTCAGGCATAAAGCAGATAGTTGCAGCAGGGGCCACACTATAGCTCTAATATCCTGTGGAGGTACCAACTTGTCTTGAATTAGAAGGCATTTTTACAGCACAAAAGGCAGCCAGGATATTATCATTGTTCATTTCCTGGAAACTCGTCTTGAACAGTTTTATGTAGATTTTTCCCATCATCATTCCTCTGGTCTTTTGTTAACGTCTGCAGTGAGGGTGGTGGACAACACGCTGGCCACCATCATAGCCTCAGCTGTGGGTGGAGCCATTGCATTGATAATGGGCTTCATGTTGCTCAAGAACTTCACTCTGTTTGTTCTCGCGAAGCTTGAGGAGAAAAAGTAAGTTTTCAAAACCACCTGGTTATTTATCAGCAATGCAACCATTTCATACTGTTTCATCAGAGTACATTGTTGGTGCTTGGCAGAATGTTCTGATAGCTCAGATACTGTGCATGCTGTAGATTTTAAATGAAGCAAGCTCAAAATGTATCTTTGAGTTACTTTGTATATGCGGTTCTAACTTTGTATTCTTTTTTCCCTCCAACCCCACTGCAGTAAGGAGTGCCTTGTAACTTCATCAGGGATCGACAACACAGATAATGGCCTCTCAGGATCCAAAGCTGATTCAAAACCAACACCAAAAAAGAAATGAGAAAGAGCATGTATATAAAACCATATCAATACTCATATTTATATACCTTCTTTGCATATATTTGGATATGCACATGTGTTTGCACACATGCAAATTAATTATGTTCAAGTTGGGATCCTGAAATCTCTGCCTCGCTGTGGCCTCAAAAGGGAATATATACATATGCACACAATGCTTATGTGCACGGAAAACTAACTGTGCATATGATATACAACGAAAGAATGTGCAAATCATGAGTTCACACATGATTATTTAAAACGCATTTTAATAATTTACATCTAAGATGTAATTGCCACTACCAGAAACACTTCAGCTTGGCTTATTTATGGTTATTTGGTCTCCCATATATCTACCTCTTTTGCCCACATGACCAGAAAACACATTAAATGTGTTGTCTTTGTTTTTTTGGGTGTGTTTTGAATAACAAGTTGAAGGGAACCATTAACTCTGTCTGGTAATAATTAATTATTTGACAAGAAAGTTAGTGTGCACTTTTACTCAATGAAATGTGGCACATTTGTCTCTATGGAAAACATTGTTCCCAAGTTGTCTCTGGTTATACTGTGGGGCTGAAAATTAATCATAGACAGTGGAAGAAAACACACTGCTCTGGCAGGCTTATTTCATCTGATTGATTCCGCACTGTTTCCGCACTGTATAATAAAAACATGCAAGTGGGATGAGTTTATTCATGAATATTTGGTCATTTTAATCATTCCCACTGGAAATGTCATCACCTGATACATACTTACCAAGCAAGTAAACATATTGATTGGCAACCTCTCCTTCAACACTCACTGGTTTTGTGTTTTGTACTTTGACCAATAGAAATTACTTTAAATACACAGTGGAGCAACAAGAAGGTACAGTAATTAATTTTAAGAAAGACCCAATTTAAAATTCTGTGTAGACACAGGTGCTGCTTATAGCTAGCAATTCACAGGGATTCTGCAGTGATTATAAGATAAGGGAGAGTATGCTTATCAGTAAGCTAAGTGTCTCTGGCAGATGGTATCTTTTTGTACTCATTACAACTAAATGTGCACATTTTATTAAAGTATGTGGATGTTTGTGTGGATATATGTGTACATGTTATTAAATTATGTGTGTGTGGGGGGGGGTTATTCACAAAAATGTGTAAAGCAGTTGTATATCATTTTGCACAGTTGTGCACTTTGCACGCTGCAAGTCCTTTGTAGCAATGATATATCAATAATTGCATGTGGCCACAGCCTGAGCACATAAAAATTGAAACTTTGACTGTTTCATCTGAAGTCAAAACAAAAACAAACATTTTTCTCTTTAAATGCTTGAGACAGGGAATAATGCAATGTATTTATAGCTGGGCTGAATTCCTCTTTAACTAACACCACATTCACAATAGCCCTTTGATAATATGGCCAACTAAATCAAAATTTTGATTTTGAAATTACTGTATTGTCCTATTTCAATACAACAGTTCTATCTAACTAATCTACTGATCAACTTGTGACTACTGTCCACAAAACAACCAGAGTATTTTGATGTATTAAAACAACTGTAATAAAACAATGGGTGATTTAAGTAGTATTAGCAGTATTGACAGAATATTGTAGGATTCAGCCCAGCTCTCCATCCTGTACCTTCTCTTTGCTTGATATAAAACACAGGTGCCTGTTAGTGCTTCTATGCTCCTCTGTCAGTGATGACAACTACATATTGCAAAACAATTTATAAAACTCAGCAAACAGTAATAGTAGAACAATCTTCTTAACTTAAATGATAGACAATCCCCAGAAACAATCCCCACCCCCTAGAAAATGAATGACCATCTGATGATGCTGCTTTTAAGACAAATAACCGATGCATTTTAAGCATGTGCAACATGGGGCAGATTTTAGACACAATGCTTGAACTGCAATAGATACCTTTTTGAAAAAAACGTGTCAATATACGAACACTGGTAGCGTCAGATGATCAGATCTGAGGTTAACTGTAAATCCCATTTTATGCTATGCTAATTTCATTGTGCAAACCCTGGCTAAGGCTAAGCACTCTTTAGTGATGTGGCCCTGGATACTGTGTGCCCGGATCAGACTCAACATATCCCTTTTGCTTAGTATGTGCCTCTTCATGGATATGGCTCGTTTTTCCTGAACACTGACAAACGTTCATTCTGTCAGTCTTTGCAATAAATAATCTTTACTAGCTACACTGCAGTTGCCCTGCCCATGTATATGGTAAATTACCCATAAATTCATAGTTTAAAAGATCATGTGATCAGGTCTCACAGATCAGGAATTGGGGGGGGGGGGGGGGGGTATCCTGTTCAAGCAGGAAATAAGATGCTGTCAGTGTAGCCCACTGTGTGTGCCAAATGGATGATTCCTACTGATAATCATATTAAGAAATGAATGTATGTGTATCCAACAGTGCAATAACGTTTCACCTGCATTTACAATATGTATCTGTTGTACATTCAACACACTGAATGTCTGGTTTTAAAAAGAAAATACCTCTGGAGAGTAGGGCAGGTGTGTGGGTGAACACCGTGTCTGGTCAGATATAAACATATCTCCCCAGTCACAACAGGTGTTGAATAAGCATACTGTACAGTAAGGTGTGAATTTCTGGTGGTTTCTGAAACTCACTGTTAAGTTAATAATAATGTGCCTCCACATAAAAGTGATTCCAGTCTTTAGTCACTGACTTGAAGCAATATTATAAAAAGGGGTGTGTTGGGCAAGATGTATATTTTTGTGTATATATAATCCAAACCAGTGTTGGTGTGTCACATTGATCATCCAAGTGAGAGAAGAATAGGCCTAAACCAAACAGCACACATGAGGAAAAAGTCGGGTGCTAATTAAAATTCTCCAAGGTTCCATGAAATGATATTGTTAGTTGCTCAATTTCCTGTTGAAACAGCATCAGATGGAGAGGGATCAATCTTTAAGCAATGGTTTGACATACACTCATTAGCTGAGAGTTAGATGACAAGTTCGATACCACTGGCATCTGGTAAATATGAAGATGCAGACAGCAGTCGGTTAGCTTAGCTTAGCATAACGACTGGGGAAACAGTTAGTCCAGTTCTGTCCAAAAGAAACAAACTCCTATAGCAGCACCTCTAACGCTCACTAATTATCATGTTATATCTTGTTTGTTTGAGTGTAAAAACAACATCTTGTGGTTTTACAGAAGGGTTAAGGATCAGACTGGTTCTTGTCTGGAAGTAGTGACATCCCGGAGTCTCCACTAATTGCCTGGCAACTGCAGAGTGACGAAAGCACCCCAGGACTTAAATAAATGAGATATATGTGTTAATTCGTAGATTTAAAGGTGTTGGTAGGCAGATTCTTTTATTTTTGGACAGAGCTACGTTAGTTTTTCCCCGTGCGACCAGTCTTTTTGCTAAGCCATGCTAACTGTCTTCTGGCTCCAGCTCCAAACTTAAGATGCAGAAATGAGAGATTTCAACGTTCTCATCTAACTCTGGGCATGTAAGAGAATAAAGGTATGTCCTAACATATTCAAACTATTCCTGGAAGTACAAACCAATGGGCTATTGGTTATGAAAAAATAATACTTGATGACTGACAGAAAGACAAAATTGCTGTGATGACTTCATTGTCCCACATCATGGGACCTTTGAGAAAGATATTGCAGGTACACAAGGTGTGAGAAATATTATTATTATTAAAAGTAATATGCATTTGTCATGTGTGTGTTTACCATATTCTTGTTTGCGTTAAAAAGTGAAAATCCACCCTCTAACAGGACTATGAATTTTGTTGTCAAGAAATCTAGTCTTAACATTTGGGCTGTTGCTGTGACTTTGGAAACATGAACACACACCATATACTCAAATAATTTAATTGCAATAATTTAATTTACCAGTTGAATAGCTTTTTTTTTCTCTAAATGCACAAGGCTAATCTCTGTCAGTTGTAATTAGACTTGTGACTGTGATTTGTCTGAATTACCGTCTCACTGAATCAATGAATTGAAAACACAAAGCCTATGGGTGAGTGTGTCAGTGAGGGCCTTATGATGACAAGCAACTCTATGCAAATCACAACAGAAGTGAATACTCTGACAGTTTGTCAAACTGCACCTTTGAGTTACTGTGAGAGTTCAGTGAGCAATAGAACAGTGTCCTGGATGAGGGAGTGATGATATAGGATGCAGGGGGGAATGGGTGACATCCAGGGAGGAGCGGACTGGAGCCCTGTACTCAGTCAGACCCTGCAGAGTGTGTAGACTCACCACGTCATACTCCACCGCTGCTCTGCACACAAATATACAGCTATAATGCTCTGGCTTGCCCTCAAATGATGTCTCAATTTTTAACCCCTCATCCGTGCATTACAGCTGTTGATCTCTTTATTACAGAAACATGAAATCTAATAAAGTTTTGAATAAAATCCGTCCTGTTGTGCTGTTTGTAGTACATGAACCCAACTTGATCTTTGATGGCATCGTCTCCTGTTGGGAAACAGATGACTACACAGGTAAACATGAGCAAATGCCTGTTCCTGCTGAGAAATGCCCACTCTAAAAGGACAGTCTATTTCTCCCCCCTTGATGATGTCATCAGGGTCATCATAACTTGGGCCTAAGGAGTACAAAATTTTAATGGAAAGCCTGCATTACAAACTGTATATAGCTTGACAGATGTGTACATTTGCATGCAGGAAAGGTCTGATGAAAGACACTATCAAGTGGCATAATGGGAAGTGTAGGATCCAGTGTTTTTGGAGCTTGACTTGTACTGGGGACTAAAATTCAGGATATCTCTGCCTCCGCTGCATCAATTTTGACCATTTTTTAAAGATTGTTCTCTCACAAGTTCCCCAACTTTCTGGAAGTGCAAAAATCACTAAAACAACACAGAGGAAAGGTGTTGTGATTAATCCTCCACTTTTTCAATAAATGATCATTGACAACATCCATGCTCAGGCTTTAGGAAAATCATTATTATAAGTTATCTTGCTTTAATTTTCTTTCCATGGACTTCTTCCCTTTCAGAGGGTGGAGTCTGGTGTCATATTATTAGTTGGACTTTTTATGTTCACCCATATTATTTAATATGTTATATAACACATATTATCAAATAAAATATGTTGCATTCATACATGCAAAAATAAAGGGATTTTGCAGAAATCCATATGCAATAAAATCCTGTACATTTTGGGTCTTAAATTGTTTAATCCTGTAAGAATGTTGCATCAATCAAATGTGTATCAAACTGCCTGTTATGTTCATCACATATAGGAAACCTCTTTTAATACTTTGCTCTATAGATGCTCTCTTTATACTTTCAATGAAACATTGACAGCATCATATAGTATAAAACCTATGAAATTGCTAAAAAAGGGAAATCCTCACATTTTTATTTCATAATTGTTTTTTATTATCAGTGCAGTTAATTCACAGAGACACTGTGCTACAGCAAAGTTGTTCTGTTAAATTATAGCCTACAACAACGTGCCACAAACATAATCACATCTACATCTACCAAGGTCATAGGCCTAATACTCAATCAGTGCATCAGTGCGCAGAAATGTGCAGACATGGGCCCATGTGCATGTCTGAGTGTAACCAGCAGATGTCAGCAGTGACCTGCATGTGGAGTCAGAGGCTTGATGCTGCGGTCAGATCTGATCGCAGCGGCCTCTGCAGACAGCAGAGCCACATGTTCAGGTGTCCCTAAACGTGGGCTGGATGGGAAAACGTCTACTGACAAAGGATTCGGAACATTTTTGGCTTATGAATAAATTAATTATTAGGTTGATATAAGATGATAATTAAAATTAATTTTAAATAGTTTGTATGCTGTAGCCTATTACACGTGGCCTACCCTACCCTACGTGGTCTATGCCTGGAGGTTGTGTGTTGCATCAGAGGATCAGATCCGCCATTGGCATCTCCAGCGACTTTAAATATACTATGAACTGGGAGTGTCCAGCAACTTACCGTCGTAATTTATGCTTATGCAGGGGAGCTTTTTACATCAAGCTCAACAGAAAGAAGGGTGAAAGAGGAAAATATCAGTGTGTAAAGTTGCTCACTATCCTTTAAGGATTCACTGAAACCATTTTGTAATTGGTTTGATACACCTGCTGTGTTTTTTTTTAACCTGCAGTGTGGAAGTGTCATGCCCCAAACCCCGCTACTCTATTTCCTCCTCTCTATCTGCATTGCATTTCTGTGCGCAAATGTCTACGCACGTTTCATGGCTCAGAAAGACAAAGAAAAACAGCCATTAGTCTGTGGTGTAGCTCCACGTCCCTGTGATTAATGGCCAAACTCAGAGGGAAAGACATTAATACATTTAGTGTCTCCGCAACAGCCTGAGCGGCTTTTGTAGATCCATATTGCGCAAAGAGAACCGGTCATCAGGGGCGCACAGGTGGGTGCGCTCTCCAAGGTGCCAACAGATCTGTCTGCGCTGCTCCACCGCTCACACAAACAATTTGGACACAGACTGGACCAAAATTCACTGCTCATCACACTTCAACCCCCGCTTTTGCTGTGACCCATCGGTCTGCGGTGTTTGATTAGTGTAGGGAGGATGGATTTGTATGCACAGTAGTCTTGGAAGGAGAGGAGGGGACATGGGCGGGGCTGAGGCGCCTCTCATTTCCCCTCCATACTTAGCGGGGCAGCAGGGCTGGAGAGACCTCCGGGGAGCACAGTCGCCAGTCCAGCACGGAGACCCGCCTGGCCAAAATACCGCGCCTCACACTTGCCAGGATTGCCAAATATTCCTGAAAAATATACCTGCTATTTATGGCATGTGGCTTGTAACTTTACTCCTGTTGTACTCTCTCCAAGAAGGTAAGAGAAAAAGAAATGCTTGAAATATTTCACATCCTGAACAGTGAGTGCTGAAGTCTTACTGTTTTTAAGTTGAATCAAAAGTGATAATTAATCAAAACCTTAATTAATTCGCTGTAAATGGTGTGTGGGGCTTGTGCTTTGATGTATCCTCGGGTGCCTTGTGATGGGGAATTGATTGAAAATTGTTCTTTCAATTAAAATGTATGAAACGGCTGGAGCAATATTTCACACAGGTAGAAATATTGTGAAAGTAAAGGTGTAAAGTAATTTTTTTACCTGATGGTTTAGTGGGTTTTATGCAATGGCCCACGGTGCCTCAGATGGTGCTGATAGCACGGATTGTTTTCGCATTACCAACTCCAGTTATGAATATGTAAAATGGCTGAATAGGGAGAATGAGGTGCAAATACAGAGGGAGGGTGAGAGAGAAATGGAAACATGCATCGGCCTGCAATTATATCAATTGATTGCCAGTTTTACAACAAATTCACTCAAAATGTGGCATGCCTGTAAAGTTTTGAGGGGAATGCTTGTGGTTTTTGATACATTGGTGCTCTTATTGTGTAGCCTTTGCTAATTGCAGCTGTTTTGATGGACAATATTAGGCACAAGCGCGCGCTCCATTCCACAGAGATACTCTTATTTTTTAGCATGAGCTTTTTAGAGTTTTTAATTATGTTTCTGTGTGGTGACAAATTTTTGCCATTTTAAATTGGATGATAAATAAAAGGCCTTTTTCCCCCACATAACGGCCTTATTAGTTTAATGGATCTACACCCATATTAAGGCCATAATTAGTGCATTCAGATTTTTCCTCCTCATTTAATTCATTAGTTCTCTACAAATGTGTTCTTTTGTTCAGTCGTTTTTTATGAATCTAAAAGGCGGTCTTTTGGTTAAATTGATTCATTTTTTTCTTTCTTGTTCGGTATATGCAGCAAATCCCTGACCCTATTGCAAAGTTGATCTTCTGCTATTACAGTGCATTATAATAATCCCGAACAAATCTGCGTCGAAAATAACAGAAGTTCAACACTATCTCCACATGACAGCATTTTCTAGGCCTTTGTGTTGCCTGCCTATTTTGAGCCATGTTTACATATTGTTTTGTCCTTGTTAGCACAGGTCCTGAGAAGGTGTAAATTTACCAATCAAAAAGTCTTGGATGTGAATTGGCTGGAAGAAGGAATATGGCTGTTCTCGATGCAAATGAGTTGATCCAAATAGGCCAATAAGGTCCGTTTGCCGTTTCAAGTTTTGGCATTGGATTTAGGCTGCTTTTTTTTATTTTTATCAGCGAATATTAATTATAGCTGTGAGCCATAAACTGCCTGTGTTTGTTGACCGTGTTGTGTTTTCCTCAACTCTCTTAAATTCACTCACTACATTTCTCAAATATTTGCTGGTGATCAATTATTCAGTTTGAAGGACGTGATTTGAGAGCCTCTCTGGTTCTGCGGAATCATATTTATATGCACGAATTTATTTCACCAAAAGAGAAACTCCAGGGGCGTGGGTGCAGATTATAGACTTGCCCGGTCATGTTCCTCACTAATAGCGCACCTGGACCCCGTGGACGAGATCGCGCGGGTGCCAGCGCACTCTCTCTGTGTGTGTGTGTGTGTGTGTGTGTGTGTGTGTGTGTGTGTGTGTGTGTGTGTTGGCGGGCGCGTGGAGGAGGGGAAGTGACTGGGACACCCCTCTTGGTTTTGTTGTTAAATGCTGGGCACTCGATGTCATTTGTGCAGGAGCTGTACTGGAAATTCACACGTTTATTTCTTTATAAGAGTTTAAAAATATATAGGCTATATAATTTTGTTTCTCAAAAACATTTATTTTTTGCTAAATTAGACATGCACAGTTTAGGAGGCGATCGGGGTGTAGGGTCATTAACAGAAAAAGCTTGAAGGGTAAGAACAGTTAACCAATTAGAGGACAACGACTATAATTTTTTCCCCCAGTAATTTCAAATATTAGGCCTGTACCCGATTAAATGAGGATTATATTGTGATTTTTAATTGGTGATTTGAAAACAAAAACTGTTTTCTTTTAGCTATCATTTAAATCAGATTATGTGTATTCACTGTAATTGTGTATTAATTCTAAACTATTTTAAGATACAGGCCTGCTTTAGGCCTTTTTTGAACTATAGATTTAAAAAAACTTAAATTAATTAAACAAAATAAACAAAATATTTGTATAACATTCAAAGGATATGGCTTGAATTGAATTTGAGCTGTGCAAAGCAATAAGGTGATCTCTCACCCTGGCATACTCTTGTCCTCTTCACTGCTCACCCTACAAATAAAAAATATGCAAACCAACCCCCCTCCCCAGTCCAATTCCCTGAGCTGCCTTTGCAAGTCTGCACAATTAAAGCTGCAACCTGAGCTGCAGTGTAGGCACCACTCAATGACATAGCTGTGTGGTCTGCAGGGGTGCCAATCATAACTCAGGCAGGGCACAGTCCTACATTTTTTACCAGCTTAAACCTGAAAGTATTTAATTTTACAAAACACCCATTTTAAATAGGGTTGGAGGAGAAATACCAATTTTCAGTGTGATTTTGGTTGCAATTTGTCTCTTCTTTTGGGGCTAGGATACATGATTTCCATTCTTTAAATTTAAAATGAGGGAACAGTGCCCCAATAAAAAAAATGAGATGTCTTATGAATAGACTGTTGGTGGCCATTTTTAAAATGAAAGATATCAAGGTCTGATTGATCAGACAATGTGACTTGCAACCACTTTAAACTCAGCAGTTACATATAATTTACCAAACAAATGTCAGTTACCCTTCAAAAATCAACGAAGAAAAAAAAATCTGCACTCAAATTTTGATCAATGTTGTTGCCAAATGTCAGGTAAAGTGTGCTGGTGTTAAGACTGTCAGCAGGGAAATGGAGCTCATTGCACTTCCCAGCTAACCAATAGGATGTCACAGCTCTGTCGTTGGCTTCCCTGCTCTTCGTTGGCTTCCCTCTCCCTTAAATCTATTAGAAATCCCGATGAGATTACGAATAGGAACGAATAATTTAAAATGACCCCAACAAAAACAGATGCAAATGAACACCATTACCAGTAAGAATAGTTTTTTCCCACCGCATCAAGAACTCTGGATCGCCACACTGATGCTAAAATTGAGCCAGACCTCCAATTTTTATTGGATGCTGGAGCTGCACATTTTCAGAAGGAGGGTGCGTTCAGCAAATGTCAAATCTCTGAAGCAAGTAGTTGTTTTTGTTGGATCTCTCTCTCCATCTCTCCCTCCCTCCATCGCTTCCTCTCGCAGTAACTCCCCTCCCTCCCTCTCCCTCATCACTAGGCAGAATTAAAGGTTGGGGGAGGGGCAGTTTATGCAGACTGTGCTGGGACTTGTGATCCACAGATTTGATATTCACATTAAGAGAGAAACTGGATGCTTTGATGTGAGGGGGAGCAGGTCCCAGGGGACTGCTGAAGTAGCACACTTTTTTTTTTTTACTGACACAGCACGGGGGAGTGTGTGTGTGTGGGGGGGGGGGTCATGGGGACAGGGTTTACAGAGACAGAGACAGTAGATGGGGAGCGTTGATTATAAAATTCCCCCCTACTTCTCCACCCACCAACCACCTTCTTATGCCGGACCCCTGAGGATTATCCATAAGCTTACACCTATCTTTAGCCCCTGCAACCCACCAATATTCAATTCACACCCCTACTTACAGTGTATCAATCTCCTCCCACTTCCTCACTCTGCCTGCTTTATGTTTCCACACATAGCTTCAATCTTTGAGTCCCCTTATCAAAAACACAACTTGTAACATTCTGTCCCCCCCCAAAAAACACCTGGAGGATGAGTGACGGAGAGATGGCAGGATAGGAAGTCTGGTTGGAAATGAAGGTGTTTCCAAAATAGCAACCAGTCAAGGAGAGAGGGGAGAGGCTCTTGACAGTTCACATGGCTGATGTGCATGTCTCATCTCTGTTAAGTTGAATCCTATTTTTGACCTTAACAATGGATGTTTCCTATCGCTAAATCCTATAAAGATGAAGAAGTGCTGTGAAAATGATCTTACCATAAGAAAGAAATGGAAAGACGTAGAAGAGAAGTGAAGGAGATGAGGAAGAACATGTGGAGGTATTATGCCTCCGGTTGGGCACAGGGAGCTCTGGGTGTGAGAATGTGTGTATGTGAAACATTGGGGGTTCTGGGGTTTGTTTACCTGCTCAGCACAATACAGTGTGTGTGTGTGTGTGTGTACGTGCGTGCGCATTTGCGCACTCACATCCTGGAGAGGCGTAGATCAGCTGCATTATGCATGATGAAACCTTGCATAGGTTATGACTTCTGCCTCTCTGACATACATATTCATGTGTGGCTCTCTGGCAGGATGTATAAAATAGTGGCTGCGACTCTGACAGCCTGTGCTTTAGCTTCAGCAGCACCGTCAATGCTGCAACACCTTCCAGTGAGGACTGGTTTTATCTCCGGTGCTGTGTCTGAACGAGGCTGATGAAGCCTCCTGGGTGCAGGTGAACTGCAGCAGCAACACAGGAATCCCACAGCTGTGGTCAATACTGCTATCAGGCTGTCCACATGCTGCTAGTTAGATCTTTGTGGATATGCATCACAAGGGAACGTGGTGTCCAGAAAATTAAGGAAGTTGTCTCAAATTGTTGAGGCCCATTTGCAGGTTTAATTCCTATTAGTTAAATCAGCATGGATTAATGTGGAGCTGAAGTGATTAGTTTATTAATCAATGGACAGAAAATTAACCATTAATCTCCAACTATTTTGATTGATTTGGTAAAAAAAATCCAAACCTTCTATGCTTCCAGCTTCTCTGATGGGAGGATTTGCCACTTTTCTCTGTTTAATATCATTGGAAGCAGAATATCTTTGGGTTTTGGGCTGTTGGTTGGACAAAACAAGACACGTGAAGACATGTTTTACTATTTTCTGACATTTTAAACCAATTTAAAATCAGTAATGACAATAACTGAGTTGCAGCTGTTGATTAATGTGGGAAAGCGACCAGACGGGACTTTTCAGAAATGGAAAACAAATAAGACATCAGCTTTAGTGTTAATTTTTTGTTAATTTCGAGTAACCAGTTAAAAAACACCCTTAGAACTGACACACAGTGTCTGTTATGTGGTAAATTCAGAGAGGCGTGTAAAAAAAACACAACAACCAACTATTACCTGCTGCTTGCTCACTCTAGTGGCTGGTTAAGTTAGCTGGGAGCATGCTGGTTAGGATGTTAACTAGGCTACATGCTTTTTGGGGCATTGCATTGTCAAGGCTGTAATCAAAACATATCTTCCCTGTTTTTCTTCCCTTATCAAGCAAAGGTTTTATAAAAAGTTGACAGTTCAAAAATGGTTAGATGGCATAATCACGAGTTAAGACATAAGGTTAGGTAAATTTTTTCTGGCCCATTGCCTAACTTAAATTGTAACAACCTAACATTAAATTGATCCTTTCATTGGTTCAACATCACCTGAGCTGTTACACCTGAAGAATAGTTCCCTGTTCTGATGTACTTGTGTTCATAATGGCTCGATTTGATCATGGCAGTGTGTGTGTGAGGTGGCAGGTACAATATCAGATGGGTTCAACATGAATTCAGTCATGGCATGAAGATTTGTTTACCATGCAGTCTCTGTTGTTTACCTCACGGTTGGGACATGTGGCATTTTGTTTTCTTGCTGCACAAGCCGTCTATACAGGTTGGCACGGGTGGTATGTAATGTTTCGACAGTTGGTTTTAAATGGAGTGGAAACTCCGCCAGTCCGGCACAAACCAGGACTGTGCCAAGTGAGTTTTGGAGTGCACCCAGTATGATGTGCTAATGTTGCTGTGCCTGACCACACCTAACCAAACAGCAGTTTTTCATGCTATCGCTGACTGTCAGGCACTTACACGCAACTTTTACCAAACTGTAGGGTATACACACTTAAATGAACACTGTTTGCATACACTTTCTGTAAGAAGCCTACTGTTCTCACCTCTGTGCCATTTAAACATATTTGATCACTTCAGCAGCTTTTTGCAAACTGCCAATGTGTGAGACATTGGGACAGAATTTAAGGTTTGGTTAGTTGATGTTTCTAAATATGATTTTTTCAGCGAGTCACTGTTTTTAGGTTAAATTTTTGCAATGTTTTTTATTCAGTCACAGCTTTCAAGTGCCAGCGCCACCATGGCAACTCTCTCTTTCTCCTCCCAGTGTGACTGAGCGCTGAGAGCTTCTTTTGGAGTGTGTATGTGTTTATTTGTATGCATGTGTGTGTGTGTGTGTGTGTTGAGTAAGTGCATGTGTGGTTTGCCTGGTTTTGACAGGCTCTGAGTGGTGGGAGTTTGCTCTGATCCCCTTTCTATTCCACTTCCCGCTCCATCAGTCCCAGTGCTCCCCAGCCCCCCAGTGCCTGGGCCCCCCAGGCGATATAATCGACTGTATGAGAGGTTCTCTCCCCCCCCCCGAGCTCTCAGGGTGACCCCCTCACTCTTCCACTTTAGTCATGTTCCCCCATTGGGAGATTATAGATATTGCAATCTTTAATATGGGCTTTATGCTCAGGGGCCATTATCAGTAATCTGCAGAGGGGAGGGAGTCTGACCTGGTTTTTGCAGCCCACCACTGGACTGCCAGACACATTTTCATATACCATCTGTAACATTCTGGCCAGCTTCATCAATCTCTTGTCTAGGGATAGTAACACTTTTTAAAAAGGATGCTGGAAGCTGAATGGAAGCAATAGCTGCGTCTTTCTTCGATCTGATACATGGAGCTTAGTGCCAGCTAAGATGGTTGATGGTGATGATTGATTCTGCCTTATTTGTTAAGGTATTTCTGTCTGTATCACCACATAGCTCAAAAGCTGCGCTTCATTAAAGACAAGGCCTTGTTTGGATGGGCCGACAAAAGAAATCGGGCACAATATTTGCTATCACTTCGTTTCTTGTTTTTGGTTTTAGCTCTTCACTAGGGTCAATATCATATCTAATGGGCAAACTTAATGCAGGCAAAGAGCTGCTGTGATTGGTGTACTGTATGTTACATTCAGTACTGCTGTTTAAAGTGAGCTTAACAATTAGCTGGTACCATAATAAAGTCAGGCAACAGATGATCTGGACCACAGAGTCAAAACCTTAAAAAATAGTTTTTTTAGTGGTGAAAACATTGGTCAATTAGTCAATTAGTCAACTATTTTTATATATATTTTTTCAAGCAATATTTCAATAATTTGCTTCTATTCTTTGTCTTGAGTATAAATTGAATTTATTTGAGTTTTGGTGTGTTAGTCAGGCAAAACAAGCAATCTGATGACATCTTGGGGTTCAGGAAAGTTAGAAGGTACTTTTCAGTACTTTCTGACCTTTTCTAGACCAAAAGAATTTATCCATTTATCAAAAAAGAAAACTGCAGATACATTTTTTAAATACATTTGAGTCCCAGACCTATAACTGTTCTGTTCATATAGATTTTAAGAACAGTTTATGAAATTTACCAATTAGTAAGGATTAAATATAAAATCAAAAGAACATTTCACAAAAAACCTGACCTAATCACAACACCTCAAGCTTTGTCCAAAGTAAGACACTATCAAATGTTTGTGATAACGATTAAAAAATTTAATATGAAATGATCAAATGAAATGCAATTTAAAAAAGCAATATCAATAGATTCAAACTTTCTACCACTCAAAGTTTGCTTTTAGAATTAAATTTAATTACTAAATATTGACAGTAGTTTAAAAATTCAGCAATTTCAACAAGCTGCATTTAATAGGCGAGACATACAGAGGAAAAATCAATTTGATCCATATTGTAAAAAAAGAAAAAAACACACACAGTAATGACAGAGCAACCACCGCAGAATGCTGAGTGCTAATTTGATCCAATTTGGATCAAAATCCTCTGTCTTTCAGTATCTGTTCTTCAGTATCAGTATCTTCCACGATGTTTTACTGACTTTCAGTGCTGCACTGAACATTAACAGGGTGAACATGTGGTGAGATGGTGTGTATTAGATGATATCATTTCGTGGTGGTTAACATCCACATCTGTCCATCAGCACTGCCACCCACCCCCCACAAACCCTTCTTTCTCTTCTAATCTTTCTTATAATGACCCCAAATTTAAGAGACCCCCACCCTCCTCAGATACTCTTATCACTCTACTTTCTCTGCTAGAGCTGTATGTGTTTAATCTGAGTGCCAATGAAGAAAATTCCTGTATGTGTGTGTTTGTGTATGAGTGTGTGTGTATGTGTGTGTGTATGTGTGTATTAAATATGTAAGGAGATTAAATAGACTTAAATCTCTGCGTCTGGCATAGAAATTCCAATCACATAACCTATCAGCGTGTTCCCTTTCTCTGTCTTTGCTTGTGTATGTGTGCACACACACTGTATGAAGGTAACAAGCTCCTCCCCCCTCCGATCCACCATCGCAGGCTTTATCCCAAATCCCCAGCTTTCTGGATCACATGACTGATGTTTGCAGCTAGACATTTGACATACATTTGTTATGATTATTTTGCCACATAGTTGAAGGACATTCCCACTGTCCACTTTTTTTCCATTAATGTCATGCTGATTGCTTTAAATCAATGGCAGTGGAGTCCTGTTAGCTTATACTCTCACTTTTGCGTGTTTGTGTACATGACACAACACGTGCTCATCGTTGGCCTCACACCTCCATCTTGACCTGTTAAGTGATGTTTGTGTTGTGTGTTTGCCTCTGCAGTACACAGTGAGGATGTGGGCTCCACCAGGCTGTACTTTGTGAATGCCTCCCTGCAGAGGGTAACCTACTCCAGCTCGGTGGGGGTCTCCCTGCCCTGTCCAGCAGGGGGCACCCCCAGTGCCATACTGCGCTGGTATCTTGCCACCGGCGACGACATCTACGACGTGCCCCACATCCGCCATGTGCACGCCAATGGCACCCTACAACTGTACCCCTTCTCACCCTCCGCCTACAACAGCTACATCCACGACAACGACTACTTCTGCACTGCCGAAAACCAAGCAGGCAAGATCCGCAGCCCCAACATCCGCATCAAAGCTGGTGAGTTGGGACCACAGCTGGGAAGGGAACGGGCCTAAGAGCAAAGAAAGGCTGAAGGATCTGAAAGATTGAGATGGAAAAGAGGTGTTATGGAACAAAAGGCCAAAGTTAGACACAACAAGATGGGACAGTTGTGAAAGCATAAAGTAGAGCAGATGTGATTGGCAGCTGCAAAAAGCCCAACCCACACACAGAATCACCTACCCTAAAATAGCCCGCTTCGACCTGAACACAGATTGACCTAGAACACAGTCCACAGAGAGAACATCTGCATCACATACTACACCAGGCCTCGGCCTGCGCTCACACCTATTTGACTGAGCTGGTGATGAACTACTGCACTTTATACCGACCTAACCCCTTCTACTCCATCTACAGCATGGCACCATCTGGTAGGATGAAATCCGAAACACAACCCATACAGTACTTAGAGTTAAGTAGCAGCTCCAATGTGATTTTTAGATGATATGACTAGTTTAAATGAGGGGGGCAAGTGTGACAATAGGTTATATCACATTACCGGCTCATGCTCATTGACAGTCCTTCAGTTTTTAAAAGGACAGTACAATAAAGGCCACCAAAAAATAATTCAACACCTGGTCATAAGGAGATACCATTGAAGTGTCAGACATTATCACCATTTCTTACAATGATGAATGTTGACCTAAAACATCGCATAACAATTTGCTCTCGTGAAAGCACTCTCGTGGGTTTTGAAAAGTGAAATAAAGATTTATAAGAAAAATATTTCTTTTTTTAAAGAATTAATAAATAAACACCATTAGATGTTGTAGGTTGTCTATTTTTGGAAATTTTGACCAAAAACTGCCTCTGTTGCCATCATATTCTCTTTTGTGTCCTCCCTCTCCTCCCTGCTCCCTCCTTCTTCAAACTGTCCTCCTGTGCCAGACTAAATATAGCCACAGCACATTTCTTTAATTATCTCTCATTAACAAACCTAATTGGTGCTTTCCATTGATTGGACCGCTGCTTTAATAAGCGAGACCTCATCTCAAGTAAAATAAGACATCTGGGGGTTTGGGTTCCTCCCGCTCTAGAACCAGCAGAGATGCATGAAAAAGAAGCTGAATTTTGCCAAACAGACAGTTACATCAAACCTCAGCTGGAACAAAAAAACCCACAGCTGGATGATAGTTATACAGCATCCATTGTCCCCCCCTCCTTCCTGTCATTCATTCAGGCCAGTCGGTCCCTCCCCCTTCCCTCCTGCCATCAACATCTGTTTTCATATTCTGCCTCCCAACACCGACCTGAACTAATACTCATATTCATTCTAAAACTAATACAAGTGCCAAGTTGAGGATTTGAGCCAGGACCCTGAGCTGCATGCCAGCCGGTTGCTGCCTTCATTCCCACATGACCCTAAAGCCTGGCCTCGGGAGACGAGGGATTAGCATGAACCAAACATCCTGCAGCCAGCAGCCTCTGTCGGGCCTCAGCTCTGGTGCACAGGTTACGGTCAGGCAGGATGTGAACGCTTTCTTTTGGGTTTCAGTCGTGCAGCCGCAGCGTAGTACTCGCTCCACCATTGAGCAATGATTGACAGGGAACTCATGTGAATCACCATTACTGCCTCATGGATAACAACAATTTCTAAGCAAATTCACAGCAGTGGTGCTGCGTTCCATATTATTTCAAAAGAACTTGACAGATCTGTGTTATCCAACTCGACTGTTCAAAGATTTAAATTTGCATGCACTTGCATGTGTTTCCCTCTTGCAGCAGGAATATGTGCATGCTGTCATCGTATCTGTTACCAGGGAAGGGAATCCGAACCAGTTTCTTAGCAACCTTCGGCTTTCATGTGATTTTGCTAATGAGTCCCTGCTCATTCAACAGAGTGTAAAATATTGCATGAACCTGCATAAAATGAAGCACCAATAACCTTTCAGAATACTTAGAATGTGTAGCTCACAATGTCCCTTATGAAGTTCTGTACAAAAACAGTGGATCTGTGTTTCATGATGATATCATGCCAAAGCTAAATCATTTCCCGAATGATTTTCCCGCTGAACGGCGGCATTCACCATTTGTAGTGAAAACAGAGGCAAAATTAGAAGAGTTCAAAAAATATACAAGAGTAGATCAGTAATTTCCAATGAATAAAGTGGAGTGCTGTGGTAATTAATGAAAGGGTGTTTTTATAGAGTGTTAATGTGTTGTTTTTTATGATTCAAGCACAAGTACGAGATTGTTTTTGTCTGAGAACAGGACCAACACTGAGCTACTGCGTGAGTAAAAGGAAATCGCCATAACGTTCATACATTTTCAGCACATCTTCTAGGTAGATGAATGAATCAACATTAATACAAAAACAATCCTGAAGTGTATTTGTGTCTGGCTGGAAAAGCTTCTCCAACAACATTTAGACCATCATGGGTCACCACGCCTCAACTATTCAGTGATAGGGAAATAATGTTGCCCTTTGAAGCTTGAGGTATCAGCTATCTCAACCTCTTTTGTGTGTTTCTTTAGTTTTCAGGGAGCCCTACACCGTGCGGGTGGCGGACCAGCGCTCGATGCGGGGCAACGTAGCTGTGTTCAAGTGCCTCATCCCCGCTGCCGTGCAGGAGTATGTCAGTGTTGTGTCCTGGGAGAGAGACACTGTTTCCATTGTCCCAGGTAGGAGATCACGCGAATGATTTGGATCATCCAGGGGTGGGCAGATTGATTTATTTCAGAGGGTTTAGGTGTGTCTTCATCTTCTATGTGTGTGTGTCTGTCTGTGTGTGAAGACAGTTGATGCACCACTGGGCTCCATGTTTGACCAAACTCTTAACTCGTGTCTTCTGTCTGCTCACTGTTCTGGATCACTGATCTGGTCCTCCTCCTCCTTCCTCCCTACTTGTATCACCTCCCTCTCTCTCCTTCGTCTTCATCCTCTTTTCACAGACATTTCCCTCTCTGCTGTCACTGCTTTTACATCTCATCACATACAATGTTTTCCCCCTAATGACAATAATTGTGATTGACACTGCATTAGAAAGACTCTCTTCCAAGTCCCGCGACTATTCCACACTTCCTCCTCATCAGATCTATTTCTGTCCTCTCCCAGCTTGTCTTTACCACCATGTCCTTGAAGAACAGGGCCACAATTAGAAACACAGAATGTCAATAGGACTGTGCCCCCACATTCATCTTCATTAACCTCATTTGTGTGTGCACAAGAGAGAGAAAGAGAAATGTAGCGTTCAGTCTTCTTGTCTGCTGCAGATAGTTGTGAATACATTGCAAGTTATTATACTATGAGAGTTGTTTTACTATGTGATTATATATTAAGTGTAGTGCACTATATATTTGAGATCTCTGCATGCTTGTGTCCTTTAAAATGCTATGATAACAATGTAGGAGAGAGGGATGAGAGAAAGTGGAGAAAAATGAACCAAAGGAGGAGAAGCAAGGAGGGTAGTAGGGCAAGAACGGCCTCAGGTCCTGGCAGATGGCGTTTTATATTATATGTATGCAAAACACACAGACACTGTGTCACACATGCGCATGCACCAAGGTTGCAGTAGTTTGTTATTTTCAGACATGTTCAGTGTGTTTTGGATGTTCATTTTCAGTTTTCATGCACAGTATTAAGCGTTGTACTGTACTTTGTAGTACCTTTTTGTCTTCACGTACCATCCTGTCAGAAAACTGCTACATTAAGGAACTACATATTTTCGTTATGAACTATCACAAAAATCTTTTTTTTTTAAATTCAGAATAATTAAAAAGTATTCACTAATTTCCCCCACATGCTATTTCTAATTTTATTATAACTAAATACATGAAAAGTGCAATTGTTGTACACACACAAACAAGCCATTTTCCTTGTAAAAAAGTTTCCACTAACGAATTATGGAATGAGATTTTATATTTTTATATCTATGCAGATTAAGACTTCCCATCTACTTTGTTTCACAGCAACAACGTGACCTCCTATGATTCCTAAACACAGAAACAGTTGATCTGGTTTGGATTTCCCAGTCCTCTCTAATGTATATTTTTATTTTTATTTTTTGTATGTATGGGGTGTTGCTGTGTATACTGTGTCATGAGGCTGCTGTGTGTAATTAAGGGTATATAGGTCAGTTGATGAGCAGTGAGTGTGAGGATCAGATGTTGAATATGATGAGCTGCTCAGTGAACTCAGCATTCGTTTTCCCCACGAAAGCAGCACACAAACACAACGCAGTGTGTTTTTGTTCAACCTTGACCTCGACCTAATCAACATAGTGGCCTGCATCATCCTTACAGCCAATCAGCGTACTCACTCATCATCACAATCACTTATCGGCAACATGACCACGTCTGCAGAACAGATAACATAATCTGAATATTGTAAGTGCACGCATAGTGTATGTCCATATACAGTAGATGCATGTGGTTATATGAACAGTCGGATGAGAAACATTATTGATGCTGATCTCAACTCCTTAGTTAACCTTCTTTTTTTAATTACTCTAACATCATAGGTCTAACTCTCTTTTACCTCTCTCTCCCCTTACTTGGCCAGCAAAGGACTGTCTGGATGGGTCTAATGAAGATGTGAAAATTAAAATTGATTTTGTGACTGAAAGCTCTCTGCGTGCGTGTGAGTAGGCAGATGCTGTCACTATTTCTTAGGCTCGGCTTAAGAAACACAGCAGGTGGAGTTGCTGTCGAGTACATCCATTTATGTCTGTGTACACCTGTCTTTTTTAAAACAAAAACATTCATTGCATCATTTTCCTTACATGCTCGTTCCTGTTTAGGATCATGAGAGGCCAGAGCCTATCCCAGCATGCGGTCTGTCATGAAGCGAAGAGAGATAGACAAACAATCACATACAACTGACTTGCATGCCTTTTATTTAGTTCAGATTAGCTATCTCTGTGGTAACTAATACTCCTAATGTTTGTACTGATAAAGCGGGACATTGTCTGCTGAAATCCACTGTAAACAGTAAATTGTTTCATCAGTTCTATTTTCCAGCAATGCATTTCAGCTGCAAATGTCTGCATGAAGGATAGGTGCTAGAGACACCAAAATCCTCACTCCTCACTCCTTTAGTTTCAATACATTTTCGTGTTTATGTATTGATTTTTTAAAATTTTTAATTAATTTTAATTAATTAAACTTTAATTATTATTAGAGTTATTGATACATTCAAGGCATCTACCGTCAAAGCAACATTTGTGCCACCACAGACCTGAAGCTGAATCCCACCACAGTTCCTTCCTGTGGCTCTTCTCTGTGTTTCCCCACTATCTTACATAATGCAGAGCAAATGTGACTAGATTGCCCACTTTCCTTAAAATAAAAAAAAGGAATCTGAATTGTCTGCTTCATCTTCACGTCATACCTATGCCTTTGCACGGAGGAATCATTGTGTGCAGACCCTGATCAGTAGCACAATCACATACCGATCTCAAGGTTGAGTTGATGACATAACACACACGCAGCCATGCCCTCTGAACCCCAACAGGTTCCATTTAGTCAAACACACATGTTCCCCATCTGGAGCTGTGTGTGTGTGTGTGTGTGTGTGTGTGTGTGTGTGTCCCATTGCCTGCCCCACTTTCCTATCCAGCCTGGACAGTGACAGGGTCTAAGAGGGGAGGGGTGCAGGCAGTCTGACCTATTTCCCTCTTGCTTTCCTGTCCCGTAGCATCCCTGTAGTGAAGCATTGTGTGTTTGTGTGTGTGTGTGTGTGTGTGTGTGTGTGTGTGTGTGTGTGTGCGTGTGTGTGTGACCCTCATGAGACAATGGTAGTCTGAGCAGTGATCTGAAGGAGGAGAGCTGGAGCGGAGATAGAGAGATGGAGGGTTTGTTGACGGCAATAAAAACAACAGTGGAACACAGAGAGGGTTCAGCTTGCAGATCGAGGCCGTCAGTCTAACCAGCAGAAAGCTAATGAGTGGCTCCGATGAATAAAGACTGGACCAGCAGATGGCTGAGGCCACATGGTGGTCCACAGAAGATGCTCAACCATGCTCCATGTAATCCACCTGCCACACAGTTTGGTTTTGTTTATGTGTTTGCACAGTAATTTGACACACATGGCCGTAAAATCCGCTGCTGAGGAGAAATAAGAGAATGAAAAATTACAATAGATGAGATTAGAAAAAACACTGAAAGTAACACTTAACTCATTTTTGTACGCTTTGTACTGTTTTTCCACTCTCACCCTCTCATTTTCTTATTCAGTCACACTCTAAACGTCCACGCCATCTTGTTCTGCTGTGAGGTAGAACAAGATGATACAGATGTGTTTTGCATGCATAGATAATTGATTTAGTGAATCATTAAACAGGCACTGTTTGTACTGTACGTTTCCAGAAAACTGTGAGAGGAAAGGTGTATTCGGTGTATTCAACCTGTTAAACCAGACTGTATCCACATGCTGACATACCAGGATCCTAATGGGTGTCAACGGGCGGCGAGGTCACTTACAGGCTACATTGCAGATCAATCCTCTGCCCCTGGGGTCCCTGCTGGAAGTCAAGCGGTTCAACAGAGACACAACAATACACAACCACAACCCGACACACACGTGCACATACATCAGTGTGGAACACCTGAAAAAATACTGTTGAGTTCATCAGTATGTGGAAAAAGCAAGCTAAACTAACTAAGTCTAACTGATTAAGTTTGCTGATGGTGAATTTAGTGGCGCTCCATCTCAGTATATAACTACATCATAACTAGGGCTGCCACTAATGATAATTTAATTATCGATTTATCTGCTGATTATTTTTCTTAAATTGTTTTGTTTAGAAAATACCCGTTATAATTCCCCACTGCCCAAAGGGGCATCGTCAACTGTCTTGTTTTATCCAAATGACAGTACAAAACCCAAACATTACAGTTTACAATTATATAAAATGGAGAAAAGTATCAAATGGAACCAACAATTTTCTTTATATTTTTGCTCAAAAAATGACAATAATTATTAATAGATTATCAAACTGCTAATTAATTTTCTGTTGATCCATTATTTGATCAATCAACTAATTGTTGCAGATATATTTCTAAAAAAAATATTTGCCAAATTAACTGTGAAACTAGAATTTGAAAGCAAAGCTTTGGAGAAACAAATGCTGACACGTTCAAAGCTAATGGGTTTATTTCTTCTCAGTGATGTTTACAATAATATGCTCTCCATGTATGTATATGATTGTGGGTGTGGCTCCAATATGTATTTGACAGTTATCATAGAAGTGTACACATATTTTTTCATGCATGCAGATACAGCATTTCCTCTAAGTAATTAAAAAGTTAGGCTCCACACAGGTGCAGGCAGGAGAGAGGTGACAAAGGCAGAGGGACCTCATGGAGAGCAGTGGTGTGTTAGGACACAAAGTGTGTTTGTAAATCTGTGCTTGTGCACTCAGAGCAGGAATACATTAATAGATACACTTGTCCTGGACACCGCAGACTCTTGTAAACACTGGTCTGACACACACACACACACACACACTCATACTCGCTTCTACAAAGTACAAATGTACAAGCCAGCACACATACAAATGCACACATCCCCCTCAAAAGTAACACAATAAAGCCATTTTCAGATTTTACATGAACCTGCCTGAATACGGAGCACTCATTAAACATTAACTCGGGATACATTAAGGCTGCGCGCTGCTCTGCCC